TCAACCTTTTTTCATTAGCGTACCCCGTGACATGTCATATCTCTAGATTGTACCCCATGACATGTCATATCTCTAGATTGTACCCCTCATTTAAGAAATTTAGTGAGTAAGCGTTATTGTTAATTTTACATATTGTAACTTTAAATTAAAGAAAAAAAACCTAAAAGAAAAAATGTATAATAAAGTTGTGATTGTTGCAAGGAACATTTTTTATCTAATAATTTTTTAATACTATTAGTTTGTGATACATAATATATTATTTTTTCTGCCATAATAACTAACTTTTTCCTGTACCCCTAAACAACCTATCGCGTACCCCTAGGGGTACGCGTACCACAGGTTGGGAATCGCTGTTCTAGAGAGTTGGAGACTTACGATGTTTGCGAACAAGAATAATTAAAGTTTTTTCGACGGAAAAAAAGAACTTTAAAATGATTTTATCATATCTCAGAGCTACAGTAGTGAATTTTTCTTTTAATATTTTATAAATAAACATTTTTATCGTACTGTTTATATTAAATTCATTTATAATTTGTCATCAAATTAGATTATACCGTTATACAACAATAAATTTTGCATTAACGTTGTTTTGCTATCCGAATCACGAAATTGTCGAGACCTAATTACAGAAAGACTTGGCTAAAGTTTAGTAGATCATCATCATTTATTAACTAAATATGTTTAAAATTTTATCAAAATTATGCCAGCCGGTTGTCTCGCTTTTATCAAATGTAAAAGAGATGTAAAAATATATAAATAGTTTATTCTACGTTTCTACCATTGATATTTTTATAGTTTTTATGATTAAAAATACAGAGAAATCATCATAATAATTAATAAAATATAAATACTTGTATTTGTAATATATTTTTTAATTCTTTCGTCTTTACAATTTTTCTGTTTGTAATTCTATAAAATCAAAATAAAATCCAATAAGCTTTAAGATTTATAATTAAATGTTGCTTTTGAGCAACAAAAATATAGAACGTTGACAATTAACATTTTAGAATAAGTCTACTTATTGTACAGTAAACCAATAAATGAATGGATTTGTGGAAAAACATGATAATGATTTATCCCTGGTAGATGACATAAGACGAAATTGAGATTGACAGGGGAGGTCACGACGTGGTCATCACAGTTTTCAATGATATTGCTTGTGTGGATAAGCCTTGGTAAGAACTTCTATCGAGCAAAGGGACAAAGAGCGCTTCTTAAACGTTTTCAAGAAAATCGAAGTTAAAAGTCCCGAGCAACTTATGAGTATGCTTTGAAAAATCTTTTAGCAAAAGCGAGGTTGCGGCCGAAGTTTTAGGTAAAAATTCCGTAGCTATGCAGAATTTTGTATATTTATTTTCTATTAAAAATATGCATTTTTCTCTTCTTTGAAAATTCGTTTTCGAAATTGATCTGTTAAAAATGAATTTAAACTACAATGAATTGCCGTATAACGCGCTTTCCTATAACGCAAAGAAAAAATTGCGCTAATATCATACAAAATTCTGATTTTGTCGTCCAGAGATACACGTTTTCTTCAACTTCTAGGTCTAAGTGTAAACTCGCATAAAATCGTTTGATAATGCATGTTTCGATAACGCGATTTCCTATAATACGAAACGTATCCCCGCGTTCTACGGGATTCCGCCATATTTTACAATTTGGAAATGTTATATGATAATTTGACATTTTAAGAAATTGGATAAACTCAAAAAATTATTAGTTACTGCTGTCTCCCAATATCACATTGAATTTATTGTATGTGATAAATAATCATCTTTCAGTGTCACTTTTCCAGTTTTTTTCTATTGTTTATATCATAAGTATATTCGTAGCTAATAAAATAAGCAGACAGTAAAATAAAGTAAGAATAAATCATAAACTATAAAATAATTAATTATTTTAGTTTTAAAATAAACTTTAATTATTTTAAACAATTCCAAAAACGAATTTTTTAAGAATATAAAATGCACATTTTTAATACAAAATAAATAGACAAAACGTATTAACCCACTTAATTTACAATTGTTTTATGTAAAAATTGCATTGATTTGAAAAAAAAGAAGCTTGCTTGTAGAGACGTGAACCGACAATATACTAATTATCAGTCAGGTATACTGCCACTGATCCACGGAGTTTTCACTAAAAGATTTCTCAAAGCATAAGTTATTTGGGACTTTTATCTTCGATTTTCTTGAAAGGTTTGAGAAGCGCGCTTTCTCTCTTTGTTTAATAAAGGTTTATACCAAGCAAACACAAACAATATCATTGAAAATCGTGATGACCACATCGTGGCCTCCTCTTGTGAGATTAATTAATAGAAAAATACAAATAAATATTACGTACAAAATAGACAAAGCAAGTCACTATTAATAATGGTATATATGGGTTCCCGTTAGGGCTCATCAAGTTTGGACTATTATTTTGACCAACTCAAAATAAATAGTCCAAACCTGATGGGCCCTAACTGGAACACTTACCTTATATACAGTATAGTCGACCCCACATAACACTGTTGATTATTCTGTTTTATATGAATTCCATGTTGTACGAGTCACTTAGATTTTACAAATACGTGAGCCGTTCACAGCCCGGCACACGTATTTGTAAAATCTAAGAGACTCGTACAACCTGGAATTCATATAAAACGGAATAATCAATAGTGTTATAGGGGGTCGACTGTATAGTTTTATTATTGTTGTCCTCAAAAGAATAAATAAAAAAAATGAAATCATTTGAATTTTATTCAATAAAGAAAAATTAAAATGTATAAGCAGAACGTTTGTATTATCAATAAGGTAACCAAAATTACGCAAATTTTAAGTGCATATAATTTACTAACACTTGTGAAAATATGTAAAGTATGTACTATATTTTTTTGACATTTTTTTCAGTATTTTGAAAAATGAGCAATATACAATACAAAAGTCACTTTTATTTATTTCCTTTCAACTTATACACATAATTTGACCAAAGATTGTTGATATTTGAATTTTATTTTTCTAGAGAATAGTTTGCATTAAAAACTTCTCTATCCTGGTCACTTTTCTCCGGCATAGGATATTCTTGATTCACAGCTTCGGCTATACCAGATGTGTTGAAATTAAGTCGTAAACGTATTTACAGATTTCTGTCAGAAAACTCTTGGGAGATTTCAGCCGTTGTAAGTTTTCGGCTTTGGACAATAGTAAGCAGTTTCATTATCTGGAATTTCATGCTGCATAAAATGGTTCAACTTCTCGAATGATTCTGTGAATTGTACAGGATATTCATGTACCGTGCAAACACATTAAAAATTACATGAATCGTGAAATTATTGTACAGCTATTGGAAAAATATAAAATATTTAAAATAAATTGATTCGAAAATTTAAATTTCGCGGTAGTGGCATGAGGAAACATTGTTCTAGTTACAATACAATTTATCTCTACAACAGTGCAAGTTGGGAAAGAAACTTTGGTTTTTAAGCGATCATTTTATAAATAACATATTTTGATATTTTCAATAATAAGAAAATAGAAGAATGAAATTAGATTTCAATATAAATCATTCTGGACTTAATGTTTTCGTTCTATTCACAATTTTATTTTTAATCAGTTAACAAAACACATAAATCTTTCAGAGTTTCTGATATTATGTTTTCAAAATTATCTTTACAAGCCACTTATTTTAAAATATAATTTATTTAAATTTGTAAAAAAAAAACTCCATTTTGTAAACGTAAAAATATAAACAAAAAATGCCAAGCTATAGTACATAAATTTACATTATTTTTAATTAAGCCTCTATATATTAATATGTAAATAAACCTAACTTTTGAAATTTAATTTCTTATTTTTGTTGTAATCCTTCACATCTAATGTCTAGTTTAAAAAAAATCATAAGATAAATGCATAAAAAATAAATATATATGCATATATATTAAAAAATTTTCAATTAATAACTTGTGAAATAATTTTTAATTTTTTAAAAGTTGTTCCCCTGTATTAGACCTGGTTAATTTTGTTCTAATTCTGGCATCAATAAAGTTGAATTGCTGCATCCTTTCTTTCATGTATTCGTATTAAGGTCATTTGGAACTATTCCAGAATATAACTTTCTTTTGTGATTATAACTGAGAGACCGCGCGAATAACCAGTAAACAAACAAATGTAACAGTTGAAATTATTGGTTAAATAGTCAACGGTGCAACTATGAACGTTATCTAATTTAATCGATAAATTTAAAATTTGTTATTCGAGTTCAAGCCAAACTTACATTCATTAAATATTTAATTATTATTTTTTTTAATCAAAAATTGCAATTTTTTCCAAATTTAAATCAATACGAGTGGTGCTTCGCATGCTCCAAATAATAGTGGATTTATTCTGAATTAAATTTCTCTCGAGATATTTCTCTGTTTAAATAATTTTGAAGTATGGAATATACGAAAGTTCCTTTTTTTTAAGCTTTCAGAAAAAAGAAACTATCATCGGTTTTCTAAATAAAACAAATGATTTATGAGATTAAAACCGTTTAAGATATTGAAAATTAATGAAATTAATATCACTAACCCGACAAAAGCAAGCAAATTTTAAGCTATTTTCTATATAAATCTGTGAAATCAGAAACATTTACAAATAAAATATGATTTTCATAAAATTGCTTGGATAATTCAAACATTTAATTACGACTCTCATACTAGTTATAGTTTCTAATAAGAAGATCCGAGTATATTTTTATGGATAAGCCATGTGTCAAAGGCTATCTCTTGGATTAAATATGAATAATTAAGATAAAGTTATGTATAATTTTTAATATAGGCCTACTTTCTATAATTTTAATGCTTTAAAACATTAAAATATTAAAATATAAAATAGACATTCTAATTCGAACTAACATTGAATAAATATTACGTTTTTAATTTCTTTTTTAATATTTATGTTTTAAAAAGAAGTATGAAGATATATAAAATAAGTTACAAATTATTATTATTTTTTTATAGTAGATATTTAAGACTTTCTAAAAGCAAAATGAAGGGAGATGCTTCATAATAACCCGTTCATTCCATCCTATATTGAATAGATTGGGTCGAATTTGTTGATTCGAGTCTCTAGAATGCAATGTACTATATGACTAATCTCAATTTTTCTCATTATGGACGAGTCTGAATTCTCAATAGGGTCTATTAACATGGACGAGAAGAGGAAACGGCGATCCACTGATAAAAAAAATCAACATGTTCATATAGGATTCGAAGATGGATCTCTCACGACGATATAAGAATGCCTGACAATCATCCGGCTGATCTCTACGAAATAGAAAAACTATTATTTGTTGTCAGTCAATTAAAGAAATTTTTAATAATTATGAGTTTAATTTTATTTGCAATTTTTTTTTCGAATATTTTTATCATTGAAGCAGAGAGTAGACTATTCACTGAATAGACTATATAAGTTTACTCAGAGAAACAGATCTAGAATAAACTTTAATACGTTTATACTTTACGTTTACGTTTAACTTTAACGTTTTTATACCATGGAAACGACAAAGTGAATTAGCTAAATAGATTTTATCTTGTATTATCCTCAATATGTAAAATTATATATTGTATTAAACATAAATTATAAAATTCACCTGCTAGTGAATTTACGTCGTATTTAGAAGCAAATATTGTTCTACATTAAAACATAATTTTACGGATATATTAACATTATAAGAAATGTAGATATCAATGATTGGGGAGGAGTCGTACAATATCAGAATTTTAAAATAAATTGAGTTATAGATTGATAACTCTGTTTATATTAATAAAGAAGGGTTGAATTTATTAATACATAGAATTATGTTTGACGAAGCCATTATTCGACTGGATCGAACACATTTTATAAAACGTAAGTGAAAAATGGAACATCGAATACGAAGCGAACTTAAATTTAAACGAAGACATTCGTTACGATTGGTAGTATCATTTAACATAAAAACAAATAGAATAAATGTGACATAAATATGAATGTAAACAGTGACAAACAATTAAATGCACAAATCTGTTGAAGTCACAAGGGGGTTTCAAACAACACCTGGGTAACAGTGATCTACAACAGAAAATTAGAAATCTGTAAGTCTTCGCAACAAAATAATTCTATTAATTATAATGGACCAGAACACTGATACTTAGATGTGAAGAGCGTTGTTTGAAATACCCTTGTGATTGCATTAAATGCTTATTAAATCGAAGCTGTTGATTTATCAAAGGATATAGTGTGGTTTTGTGTTCGGTTCTGAATCAGTTAAGTTATGGAAGAATATATGAAATTCTGTTAAAAATTACAATTTTTTTTAATACGTAGAGATAAATAAATATCTCAATGTTTCATTGTAAATGAAAAAAATAAATTTATTTAATGTAAAAGAACACGAGAAAAATAACGTAATTGAATAAAAGGAAGCTAAGTAACGCGCGATACTATCAAATATGAAAATAGTAGTCTATGCTTTTTCGTAAAACACTACTATTGCATTATGAAGAGTACAGTACATATAGGAAGAAAACAAACACAAGAAGGAAACAAACATTCAAGTGCATCTAAAATTATAAATAATTTTAGATGCACTTGAATGAAAATTATTTATAATTTTAGATGCACTTGAATGTTTCCGAGCCTTAAAGTTGGGATATATCTTAATTTTGGATATGTTTTTATCACTGTAATTCTGAAAGATATGATAATTTTATACAGCAGTATTTTATATCAGTTATATTTTATTTTAAATACATCATTAACATGTTTTACTCTTTAATAAATTCTTTTAAACTGTATTTCTAATTATTATCAGCATTTTTTCCGAAAATCCCTTTTTAAGAATAGGGATTCTTAACTCATATGCTACATGTGTGTGTTTTTATTTACATCTATCGAAAATGTCATTATTTCCAATTACGTGCATTATCTTTTGTGAAAACATTTGTCTCGCCTTTTTATCGATAAAATTCTTTTTATGGATTAATCGCAAAGACGTTACAGGAATTAAATTTTAGTTTCCTAACTCGCTAAAATAGATTTTTATAGTTTTCTTCTTAGATAATGCATGAAAGTTTCAATATTTGACAGGAATTTTAAGATATTGAATTAGTATTTACAGTACTTCAATAAAAAGAAAATGTTATAGTTATATTATTTTTATTTTATTAATCGAAAATATTTTAAAATAGTTTTCACAAGTTTTTAAACATTTTAATGCTAATTATATACTTTTAACTTTTTTCTCAATTAAATATACGGAGTATTATTGTAACCTCTGTTACAATAATACTCCGTATAGATATAGAAGATATCAATATCGTAATCAACTGATTCACTTGTATAATATTTTGTGAAAGCCAATCTTCTATTTATGTATTGTGCAGATTAATCTATTAAAATATTATTCTATATATTTTTAAAGTAAACTATTTTTAACAAGACAGTCCCATAGAAATAGTCTGTTTAAAAGTTTTATTTAGTAAATATTGTTTAGTAAATACAAGAAAAATAAATACTGTTGTCATTATCAACTTATCTATGTATCAAATGACGTAGCTTTAATTTTATATTATTGTTATTATACAATATAATATATATAATAACAATAATATAAAATATTATAATAATTTAATTCAAAAATATGTCGAAACATTTTTGTTATATCTTCATATGCATTAAGAACATAGAGAATTTTAAGGATTGATTTTAAAATATAGTTGTTTTTAATATAATACTAAAATTAATTATATCGTAAAATGCTTTTGTTTTTCCTTACTGGCGATTTCGGAGGTTATTTTCCATTCCTTTATCGTTGTAAAATCAAAACAAACTTCTTTGTAATTGAGAGATTTCGGAGAAAATTATTTATTTTTTATTAAATCATAATTAAGTGGTAATGATGAAAAATGCCAAGAAAATGTCAGATCGTGTTTGTTGAGACTAAAAGAATGGCTTATCATTTTGTTTCCTTCAAATGCTTGATTAAAAATTAAGATTTAGGATTAAATTTAATTTTTTTCATCATACAGCCTATAAAAATAGTCATTTTATACAATCATAATCCTAAATTTTAATATGACTGTGATGATAAATAGTTTTAATCTTTTATTTATTAGTTATTCTCTATCAATCTTAGAAAATACTATTTGTCTGATAATAATAATAATATTTTATAAGATTGTTTATAACTATTAAAAAGTAACTTTTTAAAATCATTTTTGTTCTATTTAACAAAATTGAAAGCAACTTCAGACAGTATAAAAGTCATTATCTTATGATAAAATGCTAATGTCTATACTAAGTTACCAGATATATAATTTTAAACAGAAAAGTTCAATATATTTTAAATTTCATCTATTAGCAATAGTCGTATGTTTGTCCGAAAAAATCCGATAGCTTAAATAGTTTCTATAAGAATAGTAAATATACATTATTAAATCTTAAAAGTAATCAATGTATATGTTTGTGTTACAAATTAATAGTAAATTATTCAGTATTTTATTATTGTTGTTTACTAATAGTTAACAATTATTAAACAGTTATTAGATTTTTTTAGAAATACCGAAGTAAAATATTTGAGCATGTTTAATATTACCGATATAGTATGTATAGCATTATACAGTATTAACTTTACAGGCCTACAGTATGTGCATAAGATTAATACAATGCTATATTATGATATAGCTTCGTATATATTTATAAGTTTATATTATGGCAAAAATAGTATTTCTATCATTCTTGTCACAATCTTAATTACATTATTGAGTAAATATCAGTCTTTCTGCTTAGCTAATGGCTAGGTAAATTGTATTTAGCTTGCCATTAAACTAACACATCTAATAAAACAATTTACTAGCAAGCATTTGATTGTTATTATTATTATTATTACGTTAATTTAAGAAAATCTCAAAATAAATAAAATTAATTTGGATTAATTTATAGGCAAATATTTTTTAAATCAAATGAAAATCAGAATCTCGATAATGCAGTTTCTATTTGTATTTTTTTCTCTCTTAATATAATGAAAGATAAAAGAAAACTAATTGAAATTTTGAAAAAAAAAATACAAGCAAATAAAATTATTTGTTTATAGGCCTATTTTTGTTTTTATTTCTCCATTTTTTTTAATAAACGGAATATTTTCATGTTTTTTTCCGCATCAGAGTAACTACATTAAAGTTTAAATATTTCTTCTACTCTTATAAAATTTTATTAAATTCGTTAATAATAAAAGTACAGTAGAACCTCCATTATCCGGACCTCCATTATCCGGATTTTCGATTATCCGGATTGTCCAAAATAAACAAAAATTTTACGAATTTGCGGATTTGCACTTGGCGAATTACGATACTGTTTATGTACGTGATGGAATGATAACTTTTTTTGTTTCAACAACGTCTCACCCAGCACAGTGGTTGTAAACTCTTAAATATATTTTGCGTCGTAATAAAAATATAACTTGACATACGTATTTATAAATAATTTATTTTCAAATTACATCATTTCTATGACCAAGGGCGGCGTAAGGCATAGGTAACGTGGGCCACCGTCTATGCCTCGCGGTCCGAAGGGTCTCGCGTTTCGAAGGTTTATGCATTACTTAAAAGCCGCGAACGCGACGAAAAAATTTTACTCGTCATAAAACGATAAATAGTTTCTCAAATTTTTATTCATAAGAATGCAGTTTCAACTGCTTTTTATTTTATAAAATCCGTCTTCTTGCGCCACCAGAGGGCCTTTTAAACAATAGGTAGTCTGTTAGCGTTGGTCAATAATAGTCCAAATTCAATACAAACGTTTGTTTCTTGAAAATTTGATCACGGTTTAAATACAGTATTTACTTTTAATATTACCGATATGTCATCGAAAAGAAAACGTGTTGTATTATCATTAAAAGACAAATTAAAGTATTTGTTTCGATTATCCGGATTTTTCCTTATCCGGACTACCTTCATCCCCAATTAGTCCGGATAATCGAGGTTCTACTGTAATTTCTCCCTTAAAAATTAATTTTGATTGAAACGTGTTAATTGTCAAGTTATTTTTCAAAAATATAAAATTAAATATAATAATAAATTATAGAACATTTAATAATGCATACATTAATTATATTAAAGTGACAGGAGATGTTACAATCTGAAAAATAAAAAGACTTTTTGTTTTCGTTTTCGATTATTTACTTCTTGAAAATATGAAATAGAAGATGTTAACATTAATTTTAAATGTAAATATCTTTAAATATTAAACATAAATTAATGTTGTAAGCAAAACAAGTTTTACTTACGGC